AGGGTTGAGTAGGTTCTGATCGCCGACTTTTCGCAGGCTGCCTCAGTCCCCAACAGCTTTCGGGCGACGACCGAGACGATATAATTTTCCATGACGGCAACGAGGGTTAGGTGGCTAAGTTTCACGGAGACTTCGTTCACGGTCTTCAACCCTCCTTTCTTATCCGAAGTTGTGACCAGCATCGGCGGAGATATGTCCATATCATAATGCCAAAAATGAATTGGAAGGGCTCAGCCTCAAATTTATGTTAGGTGATCCTCATGGTGAATCTATACATCACGACGTTAGGTCGATAACAAGCGTCATCATTTGGGAAGAATATATGCGCAAGTCAATAGCATCACCGAGCAACATTTCTTTAGTCATGGAAAAGAATACCTTTATGACTAAACTGAGAGATGAATGGAAACGGTGTAAAAACAATAATTATAAAAACATGGTAGGAGTAAACCTCTTATTCCGACTAAACGAAGCACTAGGCAATGTACACATTAACATCAAACCTGGGAATGACGGCGAATACAGAATGGTGCGTTGGAAGCTGAAAAACAAAATCCTGCTACCACAGTGAAGACGAATCCACGGAGAAGTTCGTCTTAGGCGCACATACGCGTTACGATTGTGACTTTCTTTAACTCCTACATATCATAACATCGAAATGTTACAGTAACATCTTCCATAGTCTCTTGAAGGAAAATAATATAAAACAAGTCGACATACAATAATTAAGCAAAGCCTAATAATCTGTTCACTGTTCAGCGACTATTAACCGTTGGGCAGTTGGCAACATCCAGTTTGTATTAACAACAACGATTTTACTTATATAACAGTATAACAGACACACAGTGTACAGAATTCTAGAAACTCGTGCAGCGAGAGGTAATGAAATGATGTGCAATAGAGATGATATAAACTATACAATATTCAAGTAATATCAACATTTCAACGCTAGCTAGAACGATAACGTTACCAAAGTCAAAGCAAATTTGCACCTGAGTACGTAGGCAAGAACAAACTCAGTCGAACCATCTCAACACTGTTTCTTTTAGGTGAAGCGGAACTACCCATATAACAATAAACAAATTGCCAAATAAATAACATTTATATACCTTTATCATATACAGTAAATATTCGCTTGAAGGCTGACAACGAAATTCGAAGTATTTGTACACTGTAATATTTGAACATAGCGGTATGTACAATATATCACTTGATTTTGTGCAAGATTAATCACTGTTCATTTTCGGCAATTGGATTTGCGTGGATTGTAATGTTTCTGATCCTGATTTCTCGCAATGGCCGGTATTTTGAATCTACGGCTACCTTTTCAATTTCATCCACGACTTCGAATCCATCGATAACTCTTAAACTGTCAACTTCTATTTTACAGGCAATGTTTTACGTAACACATTTATCGCAATTGCAAATAACACAATCCAGAGATGACAATTGATGAGTAAACAATACACCGAATGCATAATACTTAACCTGCAACGAATGAGTATGTCAGATGCTTTACAGAACAGAAGCAAAATCTGCAAAAGAAGAACAACGACGCGAAGAATATAAGGGTACATAAAACACCGAGTTATATCATATCGCACTTTCAACGTGAATCAACCATAAAGACAACGAAAACAACTATATCTGATTATGAACGATCATGTTACCTGAAAATCACGCTAAGATCAACAAACAGAGTAGCGGAGAAACGAAAAAGGAAAGGAACTACAAACTTCAACATTTACTATTAGAACACAGAATGATATATGGCTAAACATCGCCGGCAAACTTGAACAACTGGAGCCAGAATGAAACATTACGCTTAGAATGTGTTCAGCAGTGCTCAAGCACGATGGCCGAGATCAAGACAACTGAAGATCACATACGAGCAAAAAGTGTGGCGTGCAGGAAAAACTTAAAACCACTAGTGAAGCGTAGCGTTAGCTAATTGGTACATAAAAATCGTAAGAAATTTTTTCTGCATGGAAACCGACCATTAAGCTGAATCATTGCCGTTTGTTTTGCAGATAAAACTATAAATATGTTTACGAAACAAATAATGGGTCAAGTTGTGATTATAGCTATAAGGATGTGCGGAGAAATTACATGATCAATAGGAAACTGTAACTAAAGAAGTGCCAAGAAGGTATATTCCTATATTCCAGGCAGATTGGGATGCACAGTGGAACCGATGTGCATTTGAATTAAAGTTGGGACATTTGTCGGGTCATATATATATAACACAAGCTTAACGCTCTTTAATCCTGACAAATCCATATAACGAAGTGTTACGCTAGTCACGTCAATCACTGTGCAACTAAAACATTTTGTAGCAACAGTGGGTTTTCCAATTCCAGTTGACTCACGTTATTCTTACCTATTGCGAGATTGCGCTTATGATGTACGCAGCTCTCGAACGTTCCCAGTTTTTGAAGACTGCTTAATACAACTTTTCAAGACCTTAATACAGAGCACTCATTTAGACGTAGTAGAAAAAAGACTTTTTCTCGTCAAGTAGGTCCAAAACATTCTGCATGCCTACTTTGAAAAAAATCTATCTTGTCTATAATACTTCTGAGATACAGAGAATAGTTTATCATTCACAACTGCCAAACAACAATATTCTTACACCACTGGACATTTAAGCCCTTCATCTGGCTGAGGTCATGTGTAAGCATGAAAACCGATATTCTTTGTGACATGCAAAAATTAGATAAGGTACCAAAGGCAATGAAAGCAAGGCTAACTAATCGACATAAATCTAGTTCTTAATGCTAACTCTGCAGCGGTGAAATTTCGGTGCTGAATCTGAACGACTAGGTTTACAGTAACAATTTACATTTTAAGACAAAAATACGGCAAAACCGAGAAGACGAATATGTTACGTGTAAATTTAATTCAAAAAGGCAAAAACCTGTTGTAGGATGACACCGCAAATCATTTCATTAAACGCAAGGCATCGGATGTTTCTAGTACAATAACTGATACGACCTAGGCATACACAAATATACTTCATCTTGTTTTTCTCCCTCAGGAAGATCGAATATGATTCGAAAAGTCAGAGAGATAGTAAATAATAAAACGTTTCGATCATGTAGTGCTATTCCAGAACAAATTTCCTTCATTTTGAACATTCCTAACTGTTTACATATAAAATATTTGTTGATTTACCTTCCAAATACAGCATATTTCAAATCCAAACTTGGATGAGCAGCATAGGTAATGAAAAACTGAGATCCATTAGTATTTGGTCCACTATTTGCCATGGAAACAACTCCTCGAGCATCATGCTAAAAGACATCACATGTTTATTATTCAATACAGGTTAACGTAAAATTACTCCCGTAAATAATTTTTGTATAAATTTACGCTCGTTCCTACACATAATTTAATTACTAAACCAACGCAAAGGTCCGAGAATTGTAACACCTTCATAAGGAATATCGAGTCATACATAAGGAACAGGATAACATTACATGCCTCCACCAAACCGGCTTTGAGCTGTTCAACTGTTTCTCTGTAGAAGCCTCAAGAGCCATTTAAGAATGCAGGATGCTAGAAAATTAATAATCTTTTGGCATATACAAAGCAATATGCATCCCACACATGGTTAGATCAGTACCTTTCGCGTGATCGGCATTATCGTAGGAGAAAACCTTACATATACTTTCGCCAAACAACAAAAATATGGATGCATAAACCGGGACAGTCTGCGAAAGATGGCAAAAAATAGTGAAACGTGAATTTGCTGCACTAAATTGCACACTTATTGGAAGGTACCTTAATAAAGGTGGTACATACTATGATGGCCAACAAACATCCTGAGTTACACAGAAACAAATCCATTCACATCACTGGTAACGCGAAACAACAGGAATCACGCAATGAAATAGCGAATAAGAAACTTCTGAATAGAGTACGACGTCGGGCAAATTCATTTATGAAATGCTCTTATTCCTTTAAAAGGCAAAATATTACGTATGTAAGTAGAATAATGCAAAATTCACCAATAAGTTCAAAAATTACAGAATACAATACTAAAATGCCAGTATATAGAAAAAACATAACATTTATGTTCTGGGATTGCTATCAGAAATGGTAGCTTTGAAAATTCAGTCAGTAGTTATAAACATTTCTAATACCGAATTTTCTCGGCGTAAACACATGGTTACTTTACTTTTTAATTGTTAGGAGAGCCACTTAAGCATTTAATATCTGCATTTCATCTATTAATTAGGCTAAATAAGGGCGCGTTCGAGCAACAAATAAATCTGCCACTATCTGTAGCAAATTAAAAGACAAAACATAAATCCGATGCTATGGGTAATTAAAGTTAAGTCATATTAACCGGAAGAATTGAAATGCTACCGTTTGTGATAAAGGTTACGCTGTCCTACGCCTCACAAATTTACTCTAAGCGTTCACTAACGTAGATTACGTTTACACCCTCATTTCTGAAGTAAAATTTTACGAAAAAATAAATCTGTGATACGGTAACAGAATTTTACTCTTGGGAGCGTTAAAATACAAGTGAAATTTAATATTTATAGCATTTTTCAAAACTTATCTCCAGCGCCTTCTGGAATGGTTCGCAGCCGAGTGCAAATTGGCTGGCATGCGTATAAACGTGTCTTAGACTATAAGCAAGTGAGTGTTTTCTGGTCCCCCCAGCCAGCTGTGCTCGCAGAAATACGGGAAAGCGGTGGAACAGATGGGGAAGTTCAGGTGCTTTAAGATCGGGGTGCTACTTACTGGTGATGAAAAAGAGAG